GTTTTCCTACTCTTGGTTGTCCAATTGGGCTCTGCGCAGGCGATTTCTTGATTCTGGTTCTGGGGTGAGATTAAATATCGCACCTCTAACCCCTCACTCTCAACCCCTATTTATAGTAAACATCAGTGAATGAGAGCCCTTAGATCAAACTTGAGCCCGAAGAATGTAATTTCGACCGTAGATGAAATCTGGATGACTTGGCATCGATACAGGCATCGATGCCTACATCGATGCTAGCATCGATGCTCTAATAAGAATTCTGATTTCACGGTTAGCTTCGTCTCGTCGAGATAGGTGATTTTTATGTATTATATGTTAAATTCCGCCTCCCGAATTGGGAGATATCGTCGTTTCTTTGCGGCCAACTATCTTGAATACATTTTTTTCATATTTAATTTTTTTTATTTTCTCTGGCTTCTACAGGCTACTCGGCTTGATTCTGGGCTTGGGCTTTTTGACTCTTGATTGTGTTCTTCATTTAATTCATGGGTTTTTGTTGAGATAAGAGATATTGGGCTTTATTCTTCACTAACCTGCAATTAAAGATAAAAAACAATTATTAGTGGTATATTTATTCATTAAAAATAGATAATAATGGTATAAAATTGTAATAAAATTTTATCATCAACTAGTTAAGTTTGGACCCATATTTTCTTAACTGGTTTAAATTTAACTTATGCATACTCTTGACGAAGACCAACAAAGTTGCATAACCAACTTAAGCTATCCTTATATCTTATATACAGATAAATACTACTTAGCCATAGAATAGTATTGCCTTGACTATAGCCAACAAACAAAGTATTTATAAGCTTAGTAGTATTCAACTGAAATGATGGAGGGCTATGATACCCAGGATGTTGCTCCATATAAACCTCCTCGTCCAAATCATCATAAAGAAAAAACATTCTTTACATCAAGTTGATGCATATTCCAATCCAGATTAACAGCCAGAGAGAAGAGAATTCGAATAGAGTTGAGACGCGCAACAGGAGAAAAAGTCTCAAAATAGTCAATACCATATGTCTTGGTATATCCTTTAGCAACCAGGCGAGCTTTATATCTATCAACAGACCCATCAGAGTGATATTTCAAGGTATACACCCATCTGCAGCCAACCACAGTCGCTCCAGTAGGGAGAGAGACCAAGTCCCAAGTCCCTCTAGAAAGCAGTACATTCATCTCCTCATCCATAGCCTATTTCCAGGCGGGTACTAACAAAGATTCCTCATGTGACCTGGGTAAAGATATAGTGGCAAGGACAAAGCAAACTGACGAAAGGATGGGGTGAGACGGTCATAAGAGACAAAAAGAGAGAGAGGATATTTTGGGCAAGACCGTTTACCTTTACGAAGAGCAATAGGAACATCTAAGTCAGAAGAGATATGAGGCTCGACATGAGATGGACCTGCAGCTGGAGAAGAAGAGTCAGCAGGAGCAGAGACAGGTGTATGTACTTTAGGACGGCGAGAGTATGTCAGTAGAGGCTTTGGTGCAGTAGCCTCAGGAGCAGATACCGGAATAGTAGTGGGAGCCGTAGAAGGTAGTGGCACCTGTGGACTGACAGAGGTAGTGGAACCAGAGGAAAAATATGGGACAGACTCAAAGAAGGTAACATCAGCAGAAACAAAATATCTCCTGGTGGTCGGATGATAGCACCTATACCCTTTTTGAGTACGTGAGTATCCAACAAACACACACTTAATGGACCTAGGAGACAATTTATCCAAACCAGCAGTCAAATCCTGAACAAAACACGTACAACCAAAAACTTGAGGAATCACAGAAAAATATTTTTTAGCAGGATAAAGACAATGGAATGGTATCAAACCATCAAGAACAGAGGAAGGCATTCGATTAATCAAATAACAGGCAGTGAGGACAGCATCAGACTACAAGTACTTTGGAATATTCATATGTATCATCAGTGTTCTAGCAACATCGAGAATATGTTTATGCTTCCTCTCAGCAACTCCATTTTGTTGTGAAGAGTGAGAGCATGAAGTTTGATGAATAATACCATTAAGAGCACAAAATTTTGAAACGTCATTTTTCATATATTCCAAAGCATTATCAGTACGAAGAATATGAACAAAAGTAGAGAACTGGGTTTTTATTTCATTATAATAAAGTTCAATAACATGCGAGACTTCATACATCTCTTTCAACAAATATAGCCAAGTCATGCGAGAGAAATCATCAACAAAAACAATAAAATATTGAAAACCCTTCACAGATGGAACACGACAAGGACCCCAAACATCAGAATGAACTAACTCAAAGGTAAAACTACTGCGTTTATCGACACGACTCTGAAAAGAAGCACGATGATGCTTACCCAGTTCACATGACTCACAATCTAAAGAAGAAAGAGAAGACTGAACAGTAACTACTTATCTAAGTTTTTGTAGTGAAGGATGACCCAGACGCCAGTGTCACAGTAAGGTAGAATCAGGCTATGCTGCAACAAGACCAGCACCCGGCACACTGTCGTCTAAATAGTACATACCTCCTCTCTTATGCCCCGAACTAATCGTCATCCCAGTTGCTAGGTCCTGAAAAACACAATAAGAAGGAAAGAATGTGATTTTACAGTTATTGTGCTTTGTAAACTTGCTAATGGATAATAAGCTAACAGGGAATTTAGGAGCATATAACACATCATTGAGTTTCAAAGAGGAAGTAGTATGAACTACTCCAGCACCAAGAGCTGGAGAAAGTGTACCATCAGCGATGCGAATAGAGGGAAACTTATTAGAAAGATGTAAAGAAACAAAACGATCATTTATACCTGTCATATGGGATGAGGCTCCAGAATCTAGTACCCATGGTTCATGAGGAGAAGCTATGTAAGCATCCATACCTGAAGAGGATGCATGAGTAGCCGAATGACTGTTCTGAGAGAGCTCTAGATGGCGTAACCTCTCATAATCTGCCTGAGAGATCTGAACAGTAGGAATAGTAGCAACTGGATTACTAGAAGTAGTAGTAGAAATAGGTGAGTGAGTCGAACCGACATCGACTACTTGGGCCCATTGAGGACGACCAAACTTCTTCCAGCACTTCTCCCAGCACTTCTCCCAGCACTTCTCAGAAATATGATTGGTCCTGCCACAGTGACCACACTGACGTGAACCCTATCAGAATTACCATGTCTCCCACTAAAGGAACCACGTCCTCCCACAGAATCACGACCACGACCATGACCACGACCACGGCCTCTGCCTCTACTAGAGAACATGGCAGACTGATCCAACGAAGGTGGAGACGGTGCAGAAGTATCAGAAGAAACACCAGTAGAGACCTGCATAACTCTGGAGAATGTAGCAGTCAGTGAGGGGATGGTATCTCCATCCAATATCTGTCCTCGCACCTGGGATTGTAAGGTAGGGTGCAATCCAGAAAGAAACTTAGACACTGCCAAGTCACGACGATATCCCAACAGCGTCGTCGCATCAGCTACTGCAGGCTGATGCATCTCCAGTTCATCTATCAGTCCCTTTAACTCACCAAAGAACTCTGGAACTGACCTATCTCCCTGTTTGAGCGTAAACTGTCGCTCATAAATCTCAAATACACGGGAAGCATTCTTCTCATTTCCGTACATAATCTTCAGGCTATCCCACATCTCCTTCGCAGTGGTTAAGAACATAACACTGCTACTAATTTGTGGTTCCGTGCTGTTGAGGAGCCACGTCATAACACAATAATCAGACGAGAGCCAGGAACTGTAGGTGGGATCTGTGGTGGGTGGAGGAGAGGCCAGAAGATGTGGAAGTTTGCTCTGAGCGCCAATGAAGATGCGGAAAGCCTGAGACCATAGCAGATAGTTTTTACCATTCAATTTTATTGTAGTCCCCCAAACTACTTTAGGCGCAGAAGTCTGACCAACAGTAGCAGAGGGAGATGTCGAAGGGGAGGAGAGATCTGTTTCCGACATTGTTGCACAGTAGTGATAGGCAAGTAGTAGTCAAATAGACAGGGCAGTAGTAGAGATCTATTCTTTAAACATAGACTAAGAGCATATCAAAAAATAGACAGTAGTAGATGATCGGATCGGATCATATGTGGCCTCGAATCACCTATTCAAGGCCATGAAAAAAAACGGCACGGACAAATGGCGCGGTACTATAGCAGCATGGTACTGTAGCGGCGCGGCACTGTAGCGGCGCGGCTAGTGGTGGCGGTAGTGCCGGCGGCAAGGAGAAGAGGCGGCGGCGGCTAGGGTTTTTGAATGAGGATTTGTGGCGGCTAGGGTTTCATGCTCTGATACCATGTAGAAAGAGATAATAGAGAGTGCAAAACCCTAACTTTATTAATTTGTTCAGATACTATAT